AATGGCAGACCCGTCAACGTGGCCCAAACTCTCTGCTAAAAGAAACCGATGAGTTAGTTGGAAGGTCGCATCCTCCTATCGACTGCCCAATACCGTCCTCATAAATGGAAGATTGCTTGCAGTAAAATAACTTTACATGGTGCAAAGCTGGAGGGAGCACTTAACGCAAAACACACTTAGCATACCGTTTGCAGTGATTGTGGAGAGGCGTTCGATAGTTTCTCTCTTCAGCAATTTGACAGTAATTGCTAAAAGAGACAAACTTCATCAATAGATCCAGAATTTCCTAGTCTGTCGCTTCCAAGTTGACCTCATACAGCAACAACAATCATGGCATGCAACCACAGGGAGTGTCTTTCCACAAGGTTTAATACGGGAACTAAGCCTTTTTTTCGTGTTGCTTTGTGACAGCATGTAATAATTTGACTGTGAATAGCTCACGTTATTGAATGGCATTAAGATATGAAAAATCAAATAATAATAACAACAATAATAATAATCATAATAATGTAGTGTATTTTAGGGTAATAGGCAATGCCCTTGATGATCCTATTGAAAACGGTGCATACAATATAAATTTTAATTGCACATCGTACTAAACTTTGTCAGTAACATATTTGTTTACGGAAAACGTTTTTACAATGCGGGACTGCAAAGTGTGCGGCAGGCGGTCTTTTCAATGTACATATGAAATTTTAAGTGCAATTATATACAATCAGCACATTAGCATCTGCGGGAAGGGCATTCCATGGTTTGACCACTCGAACAGAGAAGGAGAACTTCCGCACACCCAGCCTCGCCTTCTGAGTGCGCAGTTTCAACGGGTGATCTCAGAAGTTGGTCGTGGTAGCAAATTCAAAAAAAATCCTCGAAAGCCAGACTGCAATCCAATCCCTTTACCATGCGGAATGCCTGCAAGAGATCCCGCGGAGTTTCCTGTAACTCAAAGGGAAGAGGTTCCGATTTACTAGGCGGGTTGTCTAAGGAAAGGAGCTTTGACCCCTAACTATTTTCGTGGCCCTCATTTGAACGCTTTCGAGGCAATTTTGATCCTCAACCGCCCACGGTCTCCAGCCTTGTATGCCATACGCCAAATGCTGCCGGACAAATGTTCCGAATGTCTTTCAGAAAGCATCTTCATCAATATCCATAAACGCACGCTTGATGGTTTACAGTACGGACATTGCGCTTTTTGCCGTTCTCGAACAACAGGCGAATGGTTTTAGGGAACTCGTCGTCAGCACATCGAGGTCCTTTTGGGCTTCGACCTCTTGTAGGGCTGCACCGCCCAGAAAGTAGTCTCTTGTGCTGGCCCATCTGGCTGTGTTGCCTAGGCGAGGAATGCTGCATTTACCAACTTGGAACCGCAGGACCCAACGGCTGGATTATTCCACCAACCGATTTAAGTTCACCTGGAGTCTGTGTTCGTCAGCAGGGTCCTGAATGACACCCCATATCTTAATTTCATCGGCAAACATTGCTGCTTCGCAGTTTAAAGCTCTTGCGGCATCGTCCACCTATATAAGGAACAAAATGGGTTCCAATATTGAACCCTGTGGGCCACCACTCCAGACCGTAGCAGGATCTGATTTCCCTTGACCGATGCACACGGCCTGGTGTCGCCCCACAAGGAAGTTTTCGATCCATCTGAGGAAGTTGCCACCCATCCCCGTTTTTTTCAATTTTATGTAACAGCCTCTGGTGAGGCACAGTGTCAAACGCCTTCTGGAAGTCGACTAAGGCTATGTGGACCGCGTGCCTGTCGTCGAGAGCTCGGGCCCAGCTCTGAAGAGATTGCAGCAAGTTTGTCGTGCAGGATCTTCCTCTCGGAGCCCATATTGGCATTTCGATAGCAGGCCTTGAAATGCATCAGCTCATTCTTTAGGATCCTTTTCATAACTTTGCAGAGGATACATGTCAGGTTTATGGGCCTGTAGTTTGTCGTCGATGCCCTGCTACCTCCTTTGTGTAGCGGAGTAATATGCGCCAGCTTCAAATCGATAGGAAGTGTTCCACTGCCAAATGACGTTTGGAAGAGCATCGACAAAGGCACAGAAAGCTCACTGGCAAGTCCTTTGAGAAGCTTGGGTTTGATCTCGTCTGGTCCTGGCGACTTCGAATGGTTCAATGCCTCTAATTCTCTTCGGATAATGCCTTCTGAGAAGAGTATACCACCGACTCTTGGGATCGATAGTTCTTCTTTGGAGGGAGGAAGGAACCTTGCCTCGTTTGTGTAGACTGATTGGAAGAACTGTGAAAAATACGCAGCTTTATCCCTACTAGCAGCAATCTTAACGCCATTAGTAGTCCTTATTAAAGGGATTTGATGCCTGTTCCTTGTACTTCGTCGGAGGTAGCTGTAGAGTAATTTTGGGTTCTGTGTTGCTTTTTGTAGCATTTTTTTTCTCCAATTCCCGTCGCATTTTTAAAATCATGTTTCTCAGTTTCTTCCTCTGTCTCGTAGGTGTTAAAATATTAAATTTGCCCAATGGCGCAGTATTTTCTCAACAATTTGTGCTTCCCGTTGATTGCCCTCTTAAGGTTTCTATTTAGCCACCCAGGGCGTGTATCCAGTTTTACGCTAGTCAGTGGGCAGTGGTTGTTGATGAGCTGCAGAAGACATTCTTGAACAGACCCCAGTCATCGTTGGTATTACCCGTAAACAATGAGCCCCAGTCAAGACCGGATAAGGTTACCCTCAATTCATTGAAGTCGCCCCGCCAAGCATTGCCTCTTTTTTGGTCTGGAGTATGCGAATTGGAGAATAATCCCATATAAGGGCTATATGGTCACTTCGGCCAGGGGCGGCTTGGAGGTGATCTCGTCTATGCTGTCTGGTGTTTTCGTAAAAACCAGACCCAGGCAGTTTGTCCTTTGTCCTTCACGTGTTCTCGTTGGAAACATTACATGTTGTGTGAGGGATGCCTTTAATGTTTTGTTCAGCAGACGGTAATCGAATGCCGATTTTGGACCTGATGCTTGGAGGGTGTTCCAGTTTGTTTCTGATGCGTTGAAGTCGCCCATGATCATGATGTTAGTTCGACTGCAAAATTTATCCAACTGCTCCAATAGTTGAGTGTCGGTGATGCGGTCTGTCCTAGGTGGTCGGTAGCCAGTGAGGACATCGAGACACGGGGAAGCAGTAGCCTTGATGGTCAACCAAATAGCTTCCGTGCCGCATGCAAACTAAGTGGTGTTTTCCGACACTGCCAGACCCTCATTCACATACCCAAATATACCACCACCCTCACGATGTTCCCTGTCCCTCCGATAAATTTGGTATTCAAAAAAGGCTATTTCGCTATCGCTAATATTGCCGGACAGCCAGGTCTCGGTTACTGCTAAAACATCTGGAGACAGCTCGGCAAGGCAAAGTTTTGGCTCGTCTAGTTTCGATATGAGGCTTTGGGCATTTGTGTACAAGCATGTCAGTTTTGCACCAGTCGGAGTTCCGGTTGCATTTGTCCCTGTTGTGAGCATTACTGCGTTATCTCGGACGCCATTTTCTCTGGGATCTTCCGTTACGTGATAAGTTCCATTTATGTCCGTTGCTCGTTGTTTCTGACTCAGTGGTTAGGGTGCCGAATTTCTAGCCAAAAGATGGCGGGACCGAGCCCCAGGTGTTCCACATTTCGGGGTTGCGTATGACTGGCTGACGATGGTTAATAAACCAGAAATTGCCACTCCAGTCTTCTTTATCTTTGTCGGTTATGTTATTCTGCCTATAGTACGCGCCGCCGTGAGACTGCTAGTTGGTCTCGAGAGAGAGGGTGAGAGAGAAAGCCCCAAAGCATAACGGGACGAGTGAGTTCCGTAGCACGTTCGGTGAACGCCCCCTGTAATTTTACCCTTATTGTCCGTTTTTGTGCACCATATTTCCGTCGTAATTACGCACGTTCATAAATCTCAGTTAATATTATATATCAAAAGAAGAGGGGGCGTTCACCGGGAGGGGTTTATTTGAGATCCAACGTTTCGGGTAGTTTATTCGTCTACCCATCTTCGGGGACTGGGAGGTCCTGTGCACAGCACTCCTTATTATGGCGCCCTTTGTCCAATGCGTGATCCGCCAATGCGGCCTGTGTGGCTGCATCCAACTCGCATGTCACCGTGACCTGAATCGCCCCCGTCGGCCGCGGTGATGACTGACGGCCCCGATTGTCCCGCACCGTGACTGTCCCCCGCTAAGAAGGTTCGTAAAGTCAGATAAGAGGGAGGCAAATTGATGTGGCGGTTGACAGAGCGGTCGGTGGACATCCAGGCTTCTTGCACTTGCCTTGCTGTGTGATCGCTGCCCCGGCCCACAATCTCAACGGCGTCAAAGTTGAAGATGTGTCCCATTTGCGCGGCATGGGTTGCTACCTCCGACTTTGGGTCCAACCTTCGCACGGCCAACTTATGCTCGTGCATTCGCGTTTGCAGCCGTCGGCCGGTTTCCCAAACGTCGTTGCAACTTCCGCAGCTGCATTGAAGTCGGTAGACAACGGCCGACGTCTCCTGCTTAGGGATCGGATCTTTCGGCCGCATCACTTGCCGGCGGATTGTTGAGTCAGGCCTATGGGCAACACCTATTCCGAGTGACGCGAGTGATCGAGCCACGACTTCGGAGACCACTTTAATGTACGGAATGCTCCGCCATGAGTTTGGCTGACTATGCTCCTCGTTTCGTTGCTTTGGCTGCCTCCGGCTTCGTTCAATGAATGCCCGCGGATAGCCATTGGCTCTGAAAAGTTCTCGGAGGAGCTTTATCTCATCCAGTTTGGCGGCTGGCGTGCTGCAATGAGTTTCCACCCGTCGGTACAGCGTGCGGACACAGCTTAGTTTGTGTTGTGGCGGGTGGTTGCTGTTGTAGCTGAGAATTTGCAGCGTGTTCGTCGGTTTTCTGTAGACCGACGTCGCTAGTTCGCCATTTGGTTGGCGGCAGACGAGAACATCCAAGAATGGAAGTTTGTCCTCTACTTCCTCTTCCATCGTGAACTGTAGGTCGATCATGATTGAGTTCAGTACTTCCGCATGTAGTTGATTTTATCCTGGTCTATGATTACGAAAGTGTCATCAACGTAGCGTGCCCAAAACTTGGGTTTGTACTCCTCGAATAGTCGTCTCTCGAGTTTTTGTAGAACCGCCTCGGCAATGAGTCCGGAGATTGGTGAACCCATTGGAGTGCCCTTGATCTGCTCGTATGTGGTCCCTTCGAAGGTAAAGAATGTCTTGAGGCGGTGCCCCATGAGTTCTATGAGATCCTGAGCTGTGGGCTGGCCATCGCCCCCGTCGTAATTTTGACGTAGCAGGTCACTGAGCGTTTCGACCGCAAGGGCCTGTGGTATGGACGTGAATAGTGAGACGACGTCAAAAGACACCATCCTTTCATTCGGTTCGATCGTAACTGCCCTTATTTTGTCAAGGAATTGTTCTGCTGAGTGCACCGTTGTTTGTGAGCCTGCAGTTAGGAATCTTAGCTTCTGAAATAGCCAGCTTGCAAGCCCTATGTGGGTGTGCCTCGGAGTGAGACGATAGGACGGAGGGGAACATCTGGCTTGTGAACTTTTGGGAGACCATAGAATCTCGCCATAGCGGTTTCTGTGGGCTTTGCCATATACCAGTCTTTGACGGTGATGACCTTGTCCTTTTTTAGTCAAGCAAGAATTCTGTTACCCTTTGCCACTAGCGACTTTAGACCGGCGGTGTCGCTGATTTTGTAGGACTTTCGATCGTTGAGGAGCAGGAGGGCTTTGCGTCGGTAGTCCACCTTGTCGAGGATGACGGTTGACCGGCCTTTATCAGCAGGCAGAATAACTATTTCGGTGTCCGCTTTCAGCTCCCTTAGGGCCTTTTGTTCATCTCTTAGCAGGGAATGGGTTTTCCGGTGCGACATGAGAAGTGAAGAGACTTGATGTCGAAGAAGGTCCTTTACCTCGTCTGTGACGCCGGTTTGACGAAGCACTGATTCGAAAGAAGCAATGAAGGTGACCGGGTTGGCGTCAGTTGTGTTAAAACCAGATGCACGTTGAAGAACTTTTGTTTGGGTCACAGCAAGATGTTTTGACGAGAGGTTATGTACTATCGTTTGTTCGGTTTCCTAGTCTTGTGCGGTCTGCACTGTCATGAACTTTATCGATAAATCCGCATCTCTGTTAGCGCGTTTCTTTCGTCCCAATGCTAGTACTGTGTTCTCCAATGTGGCGGCAGTCGATTCCCCACACCGGCGTGTAACAAGCATCCGGTAGTTTTCAGCACTGTGTGCGTATTTCTTAAGTTGCAGGTGACAATCTTGTATGAGTACCCTTGTCATTCGCCGACTATGACGGAACACCGTTTGTTTAGCTAATTCCGTGTTGACTGGAGGCTTGTAGGAGAGGCATTTTGGCATAACATAGTTGGCAAGGCATCTGTGAAGGAAATGGAGCTGTGCATAGGTCGAGGCCTGTCGGAGGACAGTTTTCTCCCAACGACGAGCCAGCTGAAGCGCTTCGCGCCCGTAATTCACATCAATAGTAATGAAAATCCGTTTCCCAGGTGGCATATCAAAAGAAGAGGGGGCGTTCACCGGGAGGGGTTTATATAAGATCCGACGTTTCGGGTAGTTTATTCGTCTACCCATCTTCAAATACCCATCTTCGAATACAAAACTACTCTTTTGAGTGTAAGTGCTCATGCTACACTGCTCCCGATTGATGCACCAACCATCCTGTCGCCAACCGTACTCTTCTAAATATCTGTCAAATTTGCTATTTTTTAGCTTGAGTCCCATACTATTAAAGAGGACAAAATATTAAGGAGTTGTTGATCAGTAAAAACACGTGTATTTGGCTCTGACAGACATCAGAGAATCCTCGGCCTTGGACAGCACACTTTGGCGTTTGTGAATCCTATCCTGGTCGCCAGGTTGCAGAACATGTTTATTGTACTGTGCTCTGTGGTCTAGTGTAAAAACCTTTCAGGCAGCCTCATAGTGCGATTGTTCGCTCCCGAAATCGCCATCGCGGCCGATTGTTAATGTCACATTTCTTTCTCGCACACACCTCCTCTGGAGATGCCGGGATGTACCGGGCCGTCATTTCCCTTATCTTCAACTTCCTCAATTTCTTCTGCGCTTTTCCTCTTGCACTTAAATCCTGACATTACAAAACTTGCCCACCATGCGACATCTCACCAAAGGCAGTCAAAATCTTTTTCATTCCGGAGCTAGCCTTGTATGTCCTGCCTTCTGTATTTACAAGGACAAGGCATATGGTATAAGCCATTTGTGGACCATTACCCCTCGTCATCAACCATACCCAACCCCAGGACCCGATTATATAATATTTGAACACGGGTAATTTGGTCATTGAGCATCAAGCAGTCAGATCGATGCTAATTGATGATGAATTATGTACGGATAAATTCAAGCTTGAAAGGATGTGATGAAAGGTGTAAGCCCCGGTATATTTGGGTTCGCCTAAAACGTTCACATACAGCGACATGACTTGTAACTATTGAATAAACTGATCGCAAAAGCAGGAAACGAGAGCAATTGAAACTCTCCTCACACAAAATATTCCAATCAAATCAAGAATGCGTGGAGGGCAGCAGGCTAACTGCTCGGGCATCGTCCTCGTAGAAGGTCCTGACGGCATACATGTGAGCCATATTGTCTACCTTAGCACTTTTGAAGAGGCCCTATGATACTATTGGAGGAGTGACCTCTATATCATGTGCAGAAAGTCGATGGGGTTAAACACCTGGTGAGCGGACATGTATCTGATGCGGGCGAGACATTGTTCATAGGTTAAGATGTTATTTTCAAGGGAACGTAACCAAGGACTGGGAATTCTTCAAAGAATTTTTGTTGCATCTCATAAAGTGTCACTGTTCCTTATCAAGGCCAAAGAGGACCAACCGACCTCAGTGGCTAACACCACATCCAGAAAAGAGGTCTGTTGCGCGTTCGACTTACACGTGGACACAAATAAAGTTTCGCGCTTCTTTCATTCCTTGTATTCGGCCTACGCCTCTTAAATTCCCTATTCGTCACAAAAAGATCGGTATAATTTGCAGTAATTTAAATAAGTTACTGCGTCAACTGTATGTGGACTTAGATTTACATAGCTCATAGTTGCATAATCCGCTTCTTGCAGCGGCATGTGTCTGTCAAGTCGATGTTTGAATGCCTTCATAGACGAAGACTTTGCAATCGTCTCAGCAGGTTGTTCCACAGTTCCACAACACGGTTAGAGAAAAATCCTTTCTCACAAATAATTTTTCCTGCGGCACATGTAGTTTGAAGGGATGTCTCTGGGGGTTAATTGTAGTGACGAGCTGTAAAATGTCATCACATTGGAGAACACAGCTAAAGCCACACACGATACGAAACTTTCTATCGAGACTACGCGAAAATGTCTATAATTCCGAAGGTAGACATTAAGACTACTTAGGCGGATCTCGTAAGGCATTTACGGTAGGTATATAATCCTCTCTATCAATACTGGCAGAAGAGCGAGTCCGTAGCTAAATGTTAGTGGATTGTACTACTTAACGTTAAATAATCAAAAAGGTTGGGTTACAATTCCAGGTCATGCCAGCCCGAGATTAGGTATGGCTGATTGCCGACTGCGACTAATATGCCTGGAGTGGCCTTTCCGCTTCCTCTTCTCTTTCTCGGCACTCACACCTGGGAAAAGAAGAAGGATATATCGAGGACATTTAGGTGGCCAAAAATTACGGCTATGCGTGGGAAGACAGGCATGGCTAAATTCGTCTGGTCAATTACTGTGTGCAGAGGGATACCAACCTATTATATGACATATTTCTGTCTAACCCTAAACCCAAACAAACTGCTCATAAAAAAAGTTAAAACGAACATTCCAAGAGGCGTTATAGTAAACGATTTAGGATTTAAATGTCACTTAGGTGTCTAGATTTAGAGGAGCACCTAAGCAAATAGAAAAAAAGGTATTGAAATGTCTTTGCAATTTCACTGAATGGAGGCTTAGGCGGGAAAGACGAAGTGAGGGTGTGTCGCAGCGCGACTCTAGCCCAGGTAGTTCAAGTCGCCTTATTATCATATTTTCCCTGTTCACGGTCAGTACCTAGACCCAAAAGTCATTCCACCAGCCAACGACATTCCAAGGGCAATCCCATCCTTTATTAATTCCTTCCCTTTTTCGCTGTCGGCTGCTCTTCACGTGACTTTGCTAACATGTTAGGGGATGCATTCCCTTTGTTTACCATTGTCTTCCCATCTTGATCATTATATTATTCGATACCTTTTTTGTTATTTTGCCTTATCATCATACCATCTTATTACCTCGGACGTTGTAGTTCTACTGTGTTTTTTGAAACGTGCGTGTGTGTAATTTCTGTCACACCTACCATGGGATTGTAGTGACCGCATTTGCGGGCCCGGTCTTTGAACTGCTGCCAGTACCAACAGTTAATCGCACTGTTTGACACGCGGAAAGAGAGGGCTCCCGGCTGAGTATGTGACGTTGAGCCTGGAAGTTTATGGGTTCATCTTGAGTGTCCCGATGTGGAAGCGGGGCAAATTCAAATATTCTCACATTTTTGAGGTCTGTGGCCGGACCCATGGGATGTCGAATGCGAGACTCTCGTCTGACATCTGAGCGGAGGTCACCCACGGACCGAAGGAAGACTTGCTCGGAGACCTGAGAGTGGGCATATTCTGCTTCCGAGGTTGAAGAGCACGTCAAGGTAGAGACCGGCAGTCTCTCTGAGTTCTTGTTTGCCGAGCCAAATTTGGTTGTGTAGAACGATTGATAGTTCATGGGTGCCAAAAAAGCTTTCCAGGGTCGCCCATAGGTTCCCAGAGTCTTGGGGGTTGTGTGAAATGATAAGTGAAGCGGTGTTTGGCCTAGGAGTCCCACGAGATAATTCATTCGATGCTCAGTGGCAAGTGCACCAGATAGCGCTAAGTCTAAGTTTACAAGTCAAAAAAACGATTACCGATTTCGTATGTCGAGTGTCTAAGGGACTTGGGCCGTTGAAGATGGCTAAGTGGAGGGTTTGTCTAAAGCTGCAGTGAGTCGGTCGATAGTGGGGGGAGCGATCGCCTGAGGTGGACCGAGCACGAGGCATCACTGAAAGGAACAGTCTAGGTAGTGTGCGAGTATAGCGGAGCTAGGTGTACTCTAGAAGAGGGAGGAATAGGAGCAATGGGAAAAAAGAAGGAATAAAGGGGAAGAGAATGTTAACAAAGTCACAGGGAATGCTGCCAACTGCGAAGGGAGTGACTGGATGAAGGGATTCCCGTGAGACCATAAGCCTTCATT